GCCATTTTTTGGTTGCAGCCATCATTGTTGTTTGGCGGGCCCGGGCTGGGGATTTGAACCTGCCACCTTAGGTGTATGTGGCTGGCGCCTTAGCTGCTTGAGCCACAGGCGCCAAGCCTGATGATAATTTCTTAAATAAAGTTTTCTCACATTGGGATCCACTAACCCAGGGTATCCAGTCCATTCTTCAATGTTGGAAATATTTATTTTCATTTAAAGGAAATATATACATGACTTGATTCTGAGAAAGCTGTGCTAGATCACCTGCTTCTTAGTGGGAAGGGGTAATAGAAGGAAGGAACTTATGCAAAAGCAGCTTTATATACTGTATATTTCATTTTCCCTGTCTCTGTTTGTGGAAGAGGTAGAGTCCATTTCTTTTCTCTTTCCCTTTTTCCTCCAAGTTTTCCCCAACGTGTAATATAGTGTCGGTGACACTGCAGTTACAGGGACTTGGGCTCAAATCCTAGCTTAACCACTAAGCAAGTTCTTTCTCTGTGCCTCAGTTTTCTCATCTATAAAGTGGGAATGATGAGAGCAACTACCTCATAGAGCAGTGGTTCTCAACTTTCCTAATGCCACGGCCCTTTAATACAGTTCCTGTGGGTTGTGACTCACAGGTTGAGAACCACTGTCATAGAGCTTCTGTGTGACTCAAATGAGAATATTCACATAAATACTTGGTGTATCACCAGCACATTGTTACATGCTCATTAAATGTTGGCTATCGTTAGTATTGTTAATATTCACTCGCCTTTAAAATCTCCTGGTGGTTTTCAGAGGCATAGAGCCGACCATCTCGTACAATATCCTCTACCAGCTGCTCGTAGTCCTCTGCAAAGTTAATAAGGGGAGGGGCTGAGAGGAGGGGTCTCCTCCTGCTCTTCTGGCTCCCTCCCAAGACCTATGGGCTTCCTCTTTCCCACCCACCTCCGTGATTCTCCTGTTCTTGCTCACCATCATAGGTAACATAGGGGATCTGGAAACCACGAGCACTGTTGGCCTCGCTTGTCTTAAAGTTGATCCAGAGCTTCCTGGAACGTGCCGTGAAAGCAATGGGGCGCTCATAGGTCTGGCAGGTCTCGTAAGTGGTAATAGAGGATGGGGAGGCTGGGAAGGCAAACAGTAGGTCAGTAGAGCATCAGCATAGGATACTCAAGCCCTCCTGTGATAAGGCTGTGGAGCAGGGGAAAGGATCACTCTGACAAAGGCTCTCCCTTTTCACATACATACCCTAGTCCCACCCCACGCCTTCTCCCATTGCCCCCTGGGCTCATTCTACAACACCTCTTTGAATCTGGGTACTTACATAGTGAATAAGAAATTTGATATTTACATGAATGGAATGGCAAAAATGCTAGGATAGGAAAGTGACACATGGAACACCACTGGAATTCTAGTCTCAGTGCTGGCTTTCTTAACTGCTCTCTGCTGAATATGTGCTATTTGTTGCTATTTTCCTTTGTTACCTTCTCTCCACCTAGGGCCTTTCTTGCTATTTTGCCCTCATGGATTCTTGGCCCAGTTCTTCCTATACCAGTTTCTTTTTCTCCCTCTTAACCAGATGGACTGCCCGTCCCTGGCCCAGCTCTGCAGCCACCCACAGTTCTTTCTCATGACGAGGACGTCCCCACACTCGTCCTCAGATGGCAGGAAGATCTCGGGTACCACGATAAGGATCTTGCGCTTGGGTGGGGGGTTGATGTTCCAGATGCACTCCACGCCGGCTGGGTAGTTGCCTGGGTAGTTGGGGGACTCGATATAGCCAGTAAACTCACCCAGCTCTCCACCACACTGACGATCTGCAGCCATGCCCCAGTGGATAGAGCAAGAAAAAAGGGAAGTCAGTGAGGAAATGGGTTGGAAAACTGGAGAGTTCTGAAGTAGAGGCCAGACACGTGTGCAGCCTCCATTGCAACAGTTCTTCATCTGTTGTCTAAGTTCTGGGTCCCTCTTCCTTCCTGCCCTTTTAGTTTCTTTTCTTCTCATTTCATCTATCTGTGCCTCCTTATTACCTGTTTCTAGGCAGAGGGAACTACAGGGCCCAACATAGAAACTGACCTTGAGATTGAGTAAGTTGGGGAGAGGGGGAGGGTAGAACTGTCTTGCCCATTTACCTCCAAGCCCTGCTCTCTGTTAGTTTACTACTACTTCTCCTTTCCATGCTCACTGCTCCTCTCTATTTCCTTTTCCACAGCCTGGCTTGACACGTACTCTTACACTGGGCCACACTGGTAGAGCCATCAAAGTCAGTGCTTGTGTTTCCTGGGCAGCGGGTACAGAAGTTCTGTCGAAAGTCGGGCTGATAGGAGCCCATGGCACAGCGGATACAGCGATGGATGCTGGTGTTGTAGTAGTGCCCTGGGGAGCACTGGACTGTAGCAAGGGGGAAAGGCAAAAATCAAGATGGCAGGCTGATGGGAGTTCTGGGGCATGGGGTTGGCAGGATACATTCACCATGTGGAGTCAGGAAATTAATGACACCAAGTTTTCTTCCAGGGTCCCAACCTTTCCAGTCATGTCAGAATTTAAGTCCAGGGAAAAACAAAGTTTACAGAGTGTTTGGCTATAGTGCCAGTCCTTTTCTTTCAGACATTGAGTATAGTGTCAACCTATATTCATTTAGAGTATAGAAGGGAATGTAACCACTAGTTCTCTAACCCTCTCTATAGCAGAGGGTTAAGTGGGACTGTTAATTATTTCTCAATTCCTAGGCTTGGGACCGGTGGAGGGCTAGAATGGCTCCTAGGAGCAAGATGGTATGATTGGTCAGGCACCTAGGCCTTTTCTTGGTTTGGGGAAAATGGTGGGGCAATGTAGGTCTAACTCTGGGGACTTAAGAGAGTTTTTGGGAAGTTGGGATTGGGGTGTCCCCCAATGGGGTAGGTAGCTCACTCACCTTTGGTATCACAGTCTTGGAAAGAGATGGCCCCCTCATGCTTGGTAGTGAGGCCTCCACCACAGGGGAAGCATAGGGTCCGTCCAGCTTCAGGTTGGTAGGTACCACGTGGGCATGGCTGGCAGGGTTTGAACCCATCTACAGAGTGGTGGCCAGGTGGGCACTGACCTGCAGTGAATCAAGGACCCAACTCTGATGGGGATGGTCCTGAGTCATCCCCATGGGTCACCCAATCTCAGGGGACAATGGCATACAAACAGGATGTCAACTGAGAGAGTGGCCTGGAGCCTAGGCTTGCCCTTTGGGAAATCCCATGCCATGGTGTCCCAGTGCCCACCCTGCCCCACTCTATATTGTTTGTTCCCCTGGCACCTGCACATGTGGTGACGTTGGTGGCTCCGAGAGGCCCGTGGGCATCACTTCCAGGGCAAAGGTCGCAGGAGAGCTGCCCTTCTCTCTCCTGGAAGGTGCCCGCTGGGCATGGCACACACTGCTCCGTCTGGCCGTGGTAATACGTTCCCTGCGGGCAGCTGACTGAGGGAGAGTCGGCCGTGCTAGCCACCCACCCCCATTTCCCACCACCCAGGTTTGGGACTCCCCTTTCCACTCCCCCAGATTCAGGGAGAATGTTTTTGTCAAGGAACAAATAGAATCCTGCCTGTGGAGAATGGGGAGGGTTGCTAGCCCTGCCTGGTATCCTTCTAGATTTCAGCCTAAGACCAGGGAAGGAAGGATGATGGGAAGAAAAGTCTTAGCAGCTTTATAATTTAATAGATGTAACTGAGGCCCACCATGGGCCTTTCCCATTCCCCTGCACCTCAGCAAGCTTCCTTACCACACTTGGCCCCAGCACGGTGCTGCCCAGGCCTGCAGGACTCCACCAGCTCTGTTCGCTCCCCAGCTACCAGGCCAGGTTTGTGGGCCAGCTCATAATCAAGGCCTGCCAGGCGCAGCAGGAAGCGGTCCTGGTTGATGGACTTTCTGAGCATCTTCAGGGACCCTTTTAGCCGCCTTTCCATCCGTTGTCGGAGGCAGGGCAGCCCACAGGCAGCTGGCAGTAGATAGGAGTGTGCATCAGAGAAGGAAGAAAAGGAAAGAATGGCTGTGAGCAGGAAGGCAGGAGAGTAAGGCTGGGAGGTAGGAGGGGCATGGTAAGAGGGACTAGCTGTCAGGCTTGGCAGTCAGCAGGATCTCCCCCCTAGTACAGGCTCCCTCACTTCCTTTTGCTGCTAAGACCTGTGTTTTCCCTACCAATGCCTTCTCCTTCAAGCCCTCCTCCCAACAGTGCCCCAATCTTACCTGTGGTTTCTTCAGTTCTGACCTCTGCCTCCAGTTCCAGGGTGAGCCGGGTGACCTCCTTTCCTGGAGGGGTCCGGGCCCGCCGGCCCTTGCCCTTCCGAGAGGAGTCACACTTGAGGTGGATGAAGGTGACATGGCAGTCAGAGCAAGGGGTACCACCTGGGGAAGAAGTCTTGTCAACCCCAAGGATACCCCCTAGTGATGTGGAAAGTTCTTATTGCCAGTCTCACTTCTTTATCCCAACCCAGACAGACCTCCCCAGATCTCTGACTGCTACTATCTCAATTCTCTTTTAGTCTAGGATACAAATTACTTGATGGAGGGGAATATCCTGGGACTTCCTGGGCCGTGGGCCTACAACTGTTCTTCCCCCTGCTCTGTCCAGAGTTCAGGTTGCTAGTGGGTTTTTGGAAGTGATCTTGCCAAGCAGAGGAGCTGAGGGGTGGGGAAGGTTTGGTGGCCAAACATCCCGTTGGAATGGAGTCCCCAGTCCAGACCTGGCCCTGGGATTTTGCCGGCCTCTTCCATTTTGCCTTTGTTTCGCAGGTGTAGACGGCATTTGGCATCCTTGATCTTGAAGGAGGCTCGCTGTTTAATGGACAGCACTGCAGCCTCTAGAGGGATGGTAGAAGCTCAGCACTGCATGGGGGTGTAACGGGGGAGGGGATGCTGCAGAGGGTGTTGAGAAACTGTGAAATAGGTCAGGGATTTGGCTGGGAAAGTGGGATTGCAGAAGCCAAGATGATGAGATGTTAGGGGCAGAGAGAGAAAGATAACAGAGCTGGATGGTTATGAGGCAAAGAAGGGAATCCAGGAAAAAGAAAGTTTGGGGAAATAATGAAGGAAAAAGATAAGAGGTTAATACAAGACAGCAGGGTGAAAACAAGGTTTGTGGGCTGGTACTCACCATGGCAGTGGTTGGAGCTTGTGTTATTCCCGGTGTGGCTGGCTCGGGGTGGAGCAGCTCTGGGGCTGGGTATGCCACAGCTCACTGTGAAGCCATTCTCAGACTCTGAGAGAAGGGGCCTGTCACAGCTCTGACCTGCCCTCCCAACCCCAAACTGGCTAGAGAGATCCAAGGAGAGCAGAGGAACTGCTCAAATAGCACCAGCCTTCTCTCCTTTCTCTCCCAAAGCCCTCCAGCATTCTCTTCCCACGTACCTGGTGAGAACCTGGCTCGGGAAGGACAGGTCAGGGCACAGGTGTCCTTCTTGCCAGACCGGTTGCAGCTGAGCATGGCTTTCAAGGCCCCAGGACTTCCCTGACACTTCACTGGCTCTAGGAAGGGGAGAGAGGCCTGAGGAAAAGGTGTGTTTGTTTCTCACCCCCTCTCTCCCTCAGTTGGGTAATTTGGAGGAAGAGAATCAGCTACATGCAGAACTACTGTACATATGAACATTGAGGAAGGGATTTTTTTTACTAGCAGCTTCATGTCTCTAATTCAAATGGCTATATTCTCCACTCCTCCCCACCTCACGTTTCACCTGCATGGTACAACTGCCCCACCAAAACAGCGGTGTCAACTTTGGCCAGCAGAGGGCACTGCCCACCTGTGCAATCTTTGCCGTTCCAGTGCAGCCTGCCCTGGCCTGCTGGGCAGGTACACTGGTAGCTGCCCGGAGTGTTGATGCAGCCAAAGCGGCAACCTCCCCGATTGATGCTGCATTCGTCCACGTCTAGGGAAAGGGGTTAAGAGACAGGCAAAGGAGTAACACATGAGTAAGGATCTTTGGCTAGAGTTCCCAGCACCCTGCGTTATGTAAGATGACTAGGTCCTAGAGATTTATTGTATAACATTATGCCTATAGTTAATAATACTGTAGCATACCCCTAAACATTTAAGTGGATACATATCATGTTAAATATTCTTACAAGTGAAAAAAGAAGTTTAAATGGCATTCCATGTACCCCAAGATGACTACTGACCCAAGAAGAGCTCAAACTCTCCTTATCTCTGTGTCCAAAGTAATACTTGAGAAGGAGTCAAGTTGACCAGTTTTTTAAAAGCTTCCACTCCAGGCAGCGCCTCTGGCTTAGTGAGTAGGGCGCTGGCCCCATATACCAAGGGCAGCGGGTTTCAAACACAGCCCCGGCCAAACTGAAACAAAAAGTAGCCTAGGCATTGTGGTTGTGGCAGGTGCCTGTAGTCCCAGTTACTCAGGAGGCTGAGGCAGGAGAATGGCCTAAGCCTAGGAGTTGGAGGTTGCTGTGAACTATGATGCCACAACACTCTACCGAGGGTGACAGAATGAGACTGTCTCTAAAAAAAAAAGAAAAGCCTTCCACTCCTACCTACTGTTGGGACTGTCATTTGGGAACTGAGGCTAAGGGTCCAGAGATAATGATGAGGATGGGAGATAGGAATTTTGGAGGCACAATGCTATTTCTTAATGCCCCAGTCTCCCAGTTGGCCTTCAGAAGCTGTCTTAATTCCTATTTCATCACAATAAATGCAGACATGGCACATGTACTCAGGGATTACACATAGCCACAAGCCAATTCAGAGGAGGTCAAAGGGAACAGGGTGCCAGGGGGGCTGCAAGCTTGCTAGCTTACCCCCACAGTGGGTGACACCATACAGCAGATAGCCACGATGGCAGAGACACTGGAAGCTTCCCGGTGTGTTGACACATATGTGATCACAGGTTCGATCAAAGGAGCACTCGTCTATATCTGAAGGAGCAAAGATTCAGGACACTTTATCTGTCTTGAGGCATCTGAGCCTTGCTCAGGAGAAGGGCTCAAGTGGGGGGCCTCTCTGGCTTGAATTGAAAGTGTCCCTACTCATCGCCTACCTCTAGGATCAGTGAGTGACCAATGCTGATCCAACCTTTATGCACTTGGAGTCCTTGGAGTTAAGAACTGCAAAATCTGGTGCCTGTGGATCAGGGCCACTATGTGTGGTTAGGCAGATCATACTCCGCCAAGGACATGGGGACACTCTTTGTCAAGTTGAGTGTTTTAGCTTGGAGCTGATCTGTCTAGAGCAGTGGTTCTCAACCTTCCTAATGCTGCAGCCCTTTAATACAGTTCCTGTGGGTTGCAACCCACAGGAACCGCTGGTCTAGAGGAAGATGTACAGATGGCTAGTTTGTAGGACAACACTGGCTATAGAGACTCTCTACAGTGTCTGTTGGAGTTTCTAAGACTGGGCTTCTGGCCTCTTTAAGCTCTTCAACCCCAAGAACATCTCACAAATATTTCATGTTGGCCCAAGTCTGCTCACCCTGGCAGTTCCTTTCATTGATGAGAAGCTTATAACCTTTCTTGCAGCTGCACTCGAAGCTGCCCACTGTATTGCGGCAAATGTGGTCACAACCCCCATTGTTCAAGCGGCACTCATCTATGTCTGGAGAAGCAGGAAAAAGCAGAATGAAAGATAATATCGAAGGCTAAGAACAAACAAAGAAACAAGTTCCCTCCCTCACTCACAGAGACGGAAAAATCAAGGAGAACCCTGGGCCTGCCTCTTCTGACGCCTCTCTCACTGTCTCCATTTCTTTTGTGTTCAGGGGGTCTGTGGCCATTATTAATACTCTCTCTTCTGGGATTGAGTCCTCTTGGAAGGGACAGATGGGAACAAGAATCAGGTCCCTAGGGAATTGTCCAGAGCAGGGAGCAGGTGGGCGTTTGACCTACACGGTTAGTCAATGCCCCTGACTCTCCAGCTAATGGCCATTCTCAAGAGACCTGGTGGATAGGGTTATCTTTTTTCTGTCCCTCATCCCTGTCACAGGGGCCCTGTCAAGAGCCCTGGGTAGGGGGGAGCCAAGGAGAGGTGGAGAGTCAAAAGGGAGGAGGAACTGGGACACAGGCCAGGCAGGGAGGACCTCCCGGAAAGCCAGGGAGGCTGGAGAGTTAATGGGGGAGGGCTGGGGGCCAGGCAGGGGGCAGGGCTAGGAGAGGTCTGGAGAGACTCAGGCCTGAGGCAGCTTTCAGCACTAGTAAAGGAAAGAGGGGCGGGTGAATGGCTTCCTTCCTGAGGTCAAGTTCTCTAAGCTGGTGGCAGACAGGACCCAGGCTAACTCACCCCTAGTTGGGGGAAGGGGGCAGGGAAGGCAGTCTTCCACTTCACTCTCAGCATACCTGTCAACAGTCCTTCTCTGCAGGAAACCTCTGACTCTGGCTGGCTGACCCACTGCCCCAGCCCTCCCCTTCCTCTTGCAGCTATTGAGCCAAAAGACACAAAGGAGCCCAGTCCTCCTTCCAGTCCCTACTCCTTGTGACCAGGGGACACAGACCTGATGAATCATATTTGCAGTATGGTGTCCTCCCTCTTTTTCTCCTCCCTCTTCCCCATCATCCCCCAGACCTAGCTAATTACAAGAAGTGGAAATAGGATGGATGGCTTGGGAAATTGTACTGGAAGACAGCAAATACAAAGTGTTTACCATGTGCCAAGCACTGTCCCAAATACTTTCTATATAATACTCCATTTAATCCTCACAAATTGTCAGTGAAACAAGCACTGTGGGGAAACTGAGGCATGGGGACATTATGTATCTTGCCTAGGATCACAGAGCTGGTAATAGGCAGAGCTGGGATCTGACCTCCAGTAGCTAGGCTTCAGCATCAGTGCTCTTAACTGCTATTCTATTCTCCCTTTGGCCAGTACAGCCTTTCTAAGGGGAAAGATCATTTCCCCTGAGCCCACTAGGAAAGGCTGAGGAATGTGGGTTAAGAAGGTTATGGAACACATCTGTGACCTCATACATGCAGGACTCAAATATCCTTTCAGACTCAGGGACAAATGTGAATTGCATGTTCATTAACTAATAGGGTGACCAGGAATGAGAGCAGGAAAACAAGGTAGAGGAGGGGCAAGGGCACTAAGGAAGTAGCTGGACTGTTGTGCTCCTTGAACTGAGATGGGACAAGTGGACAGGAGAAAACCCTTAGCAATGTCCTGGGTTCTCTATAAGAAGGGAGTTGAGGAGCTGTTTCTCAACTCTGTGGGCTAGAGATAGGTGCCCTGTCTCTGGTCCCAATGTCAATCCCTTACCAAAGGTCTCTGTGATCCTATCTTCTCAGAGTCCTTACCTTTGCAAGTCTTCCTGTCTGGCTGCAGCATGAAGCCCACAGGACAGCTGCAGTGGACACCAGTTGCTGCATCATGGCACTTACTGTCGCAGCCCCCGTTATTGACAGCACAGGTTTCTGTTCAGGAGGGAAGTGGGGGATCATAACCAGGTTACTGGTCTGGAACATTCCCAAACTTGGAGGGTAGTAGAGACCACAGAGGCCTGAGGGACGGCCTCAGCTGCCTCCCTATGCTTTAGAAGGAGCATTGAGTGGAGGGAGGTTCCCAGCCCCCTTCCTCCCGTCACTCCCAACCCCCATCCCCTCACAAGTGCAGCCAAGCAGTCCACTTCCCTGCCCCCTACTTGATTGAAACAAGGTGGACAGCAGTGAGGCAGGTACAAGCCAGAGCTGTCAGGCAGGAATGTGCTGAGGGGGTGGAGGAGGTGAGGGGAGCAGGGAAGGACGAGAGCTAAGTGAGGATGGTTCTGGCTACCAGGGAACCAGAAAGGACAGACAGGAGTTTCCTCCTCTTTCCACTGACCATCTCTTTGATGGGTTAGTGGGGGTCATGGTGGGAAACTACTATAGGTAGGTTGGAAAGAATGAACCTGGCTATTCCTGCCAGCTGAGGGATGCTCATCCATTTATCTTCCCCTTCCTCCCTGCCCAGCAGTCTTAAGGAAAATCTCAGTTCCAAGCCTAACTGCTCATCCTCAGAGGAAAAAACACAACCTAGGGTGATCTTCAACTGTTCCCAAACCTCCTTTTAGTTCCTCCTTTAGGAAGTAAGCTGGCATTCTGTTGTTTTACTTTACTAATGGGGAGACAGTGTGTAAGTGAGGGGAGGGGGCAAAAGAAGAAGAATCCAGAGAAGGAAGGGTATAAAAAAGTCAGCAGAAGAGAGAACCTCAGAGCTAACCCAAACCCGAATGTTTACTTCTGCTAAATCTCTTCTGTGGCTCCCTCTTGATTGGAAAATTTTCCCTTCACTGAAAGATCAGAGTTGAGAGAGTATGGATGGGTCACTCTATTTTATGAATTCAGAGCAGAAGAAAAACAGGTTTAAACAACAGCTCGAGAGAATCAGGCAAGTCCAAGGAAAAACCATTAGCCCTGACATAGAGACAGTGGAGGTGTTGTGGATGGTCCTCTAGAGGGCCTAGAATTCTCCCATTAGGAGAGAGGATCCCAAGGTCTCTGCTAGGGAAGAGAGGAAAGTAGATGTCAGAATCAGGGGAACAGTGATTCTGTTTCCTCATTAGGAAAGCACTGGTCAGCACTATCATCTTCTTGGATACCTGACTCCTAGCATTCAGGCCCAACCCTTGTCTCTAATGAGAACAGCAAGGCCGGGGCTCCAGAAGAAACCCAGCTCTGCCTGTGGGTCACTGGCCATCCCCTAGTCTTTTTAATACCCAGGTTTGGGAGCAGCTCAGTTGGAGTGGGATCTCTCTCTTTTTTTAAGACAGAATCTCACTATGTTACCCTCAGTAGAATGCTGTGGTGTCACAGCTCACAGCAACCTCAAACTCTTGGGCTTAAGCGATTCTCTTGCCTCAGCCTCCCAAGTAGCTGGGACTATAACACCTGGCTACTTTTTTGTTGTTGTTGTCATTGTTGTTTAGCAGGCCCAGGCTGGGTTCCAACCCACCAGCCCGGGTCCATGTGGCCGGCACCCTAACCACTGAGCTACGGGTGCTGAGCCTGGAGTGGGATCTCTTCAAAGTGATTCCCACTTTAATCTCTCCTGAGGTTGCCCAAGGCCATGGAGGAATCTAGAAGGAAATCTTGAGTTCAGGCTCTATACCTAGCCATTCCTCCTAAGAGTGTTCTTAGCATGAGAAGACATCCACTAAGCCCTGGAGCAGGAAGAAGGGAGCAGAGACAATGTGCCAAGTCTTGGTAGCTTCTGAAGGGTCCAGGATAGGGAGCAGCAGGGCTGGCACAATGTCCATCCCTAGATGGACAGGACAATGGGGACAGCTGCCTGCCTTTGCAGGACAGCATTCTTCAGAGCAGGATAGGGCAGCGGGAAGGCATAGCCTCACCCCTTTGCTTTCCAGGTTGCAGTATTAAAACCACAAGTTACTCTGTGCTTAACTCTGTACCAGGCACTTACTAGATAAATACTCTGCATGCACTATGTCAGTCATCACAGCAGCCTGAAGGAAAGACTGTTATTTTCCTTATTTTTCAGACAGTAAACTGAGGATCAGAGAGGAAAGCAGCTTGCCTGAGGTCATAAATAGTTAGAAAATGGCAGAGCCAGGATTCAAACTCAGGTCTGTCTGAATGTAAATGCCATGCTCATAACCATTATGGGGGGTCAGAATGGTGAGTGATGCTGGAGTTGTGAACTAACGTGGGTTAAGAATCCAAGAAAGAAGCCCCAAGGAGGGGATGGCATCTAACCTTAGCTTAGGCAGCACAGGGGACATGATGAGAAAGATGGAATTGGCTGGGTCTCTAACTGTGTGTGTTGGGGGCAGACGGCTGGGAAGGGGCAGGGTGTTAGACGGTGGGTATGGGAGGAAGGAGCAGAAGAGGAAGGAGAAGAGAGTGACAGGAATAAAGACAGACAAGACCAACTTGAAGGCTCCAGGCCAGCTCTTAGGGACTCAGGTTTCCTGTGACCCGATGGGCCCAGTGCCCAGGCTGCCAGGGGAGCCTTACTCACTGGGCCCCATGGGCATGCAGTTAGTGGGACTCCCAGCGGGTTAGCCCTTCCCCTAGCAAGCCAGCGAGAGCAAGCGGAGAGAGCAGACATATTTACCATTAGAAACGGCCTGAGTGGGGATGTGCTGCTCTAGCCGCCTTTCCCCTGTTTGACATTGTGAAAAAAGCATTTAGATGCTGGGCAGGAGCCACCAGGGCCCTCTGGGCCTTAGAACCCTCCCCAGCCCCTCTTCCACCCAATAAGCCCAAAACACTAGCCCCAAATGATGAACCCTGGCACCATTACAACAGCTTCACTCTTCAGCCTTGTCCTACCTGGTATACTCAAAGAAGCCAGGCTCCCACCAAGTGACTGAAAAACAGTCTCAGAGAGGAACACCCATAGGCCCAATACCACACAGCACACCACAGGCAAAGCTGGGATGCCACCTTGAGACTTACAAACTGCCAAATTACAGATTCCAGAGGGTGCTTGCCCTTTCTGCTAAACTCTATGGCTCTCTCATTCTCTCCCCTAAATCTGGATGTCCTGATGACCCCAAACAATGACGTTTTCTCTTACCGGGGCTGGCAAGAAAAATAAGATACAGGGTAAAGGAAAATGAGTTCTACTGTAAGTTCTATTAGAGAAGAGGAAGAGGAGCTAGGGAAGAACACAGCTGTAAACCTAGAATAGCCTCATAGCCTCATTCAGTCTCTGCTGCCTCCCTGGCCCCGGCTCAGATGGCAGAATGGGTCTTGGATTAGAGAAGAGCTTGAGCTCCAAGGGGGTTTTCAGGAGCAGCCACATCCAGAGAGGGGTCAGACCCTCAAGTCCATGGGCCCTGAGCTCCGTTCCAATTCATGCATCTTTTCTCTGGGGACTGTGTGTGATATCTTTTAGGAGACTCTGGGAATGTATGGATGTGTCCCGGGGGTGGTGGGACATTTGGAAAGCAAAGGAGTTAGATCTATAAGGAAAAAAATGAAGGAACTAAAACACATGAGCTGGAAGAAGGCAACATAGGGTCTTGAAGAGTTAATTCAGAGGGAAACATGTGGCAGGAGAGGTTTTAATTGTAGAAGCACTTTAGATCTGTGTGTCCGAGTCTCTGGAGTGGGTGCCTGAGGGAACCCCGGAAGAGCATCATCTGCTCCCCTGTTCTTGTGTCTGCAGTGAAGGGATTAGACCTCTGGAGTGGGGTGTGGGGGGACAGTCTGGGTCTCCAGCTGAATGCCACATCTCTGACTTCACACAGAGTGCCTGGGTTCACTGCTCCCCACCCCAAGCACGCAGCAGGCCAGCAGATGGATGGCCATCTATAGACCAATGCCTACAGAGCAAGTTTGGATACTGGCCTTCAAAACACAGCCTTTCCCCCAGCCAAAGCTCTTTACCTTTGATTTCTCATTTTTCCAAGGGACACCTTGTCCCATTATCCTTTTCAGTACTAAAGACCTAAATACTCAGGAAATCAGGAATTAACTTTAAGGAATTTGGGAATTAAACTTATCTAAGGTACCTAAAGGTATATGAGGTAAAGCCTAGGAATTCAGGAAGAGAGATCCAGGTATTAAGAGGGTCCCAAACCAGGACAAGAGAGATGGAAGACAAGCTGGTCAGAAAAGAAGGGGCTAGAAGTGGAGCTGAGAGGGGGTAGGCTGGGATCTGGAGGAGAGAGAAGGAAGTGCAGACTACTGTAAGGAAAGTAGAAAGGGGGTTTGCTGGAGGGCAGTGAGGAGAGAAAGGTTCAACAGGAAAAAGGTAACTGGAGCCAGGAAACCCTATTCTCAAAGTTCAGGGATAATTCTAGGAAAGAGTACTCTGTCCCACTGTCCCAGAGTGACAACTCCCCTCCTATTATGCTAGTCAACAGGGTCTCTGGTCACGCATAATCAGCTGCTTGCCCCAGCTCTCCCCCTTCTTTTCAACAACAGACTTAGTCTGCAAGCACCCCTGCTAATTAAACCATTTGGCAACACTTTGTTCTAAGATAAAGAGGACAGTGAGGCTCCTGGGGCAGGGCAGCAAACCTGTGAGTCAGGTATAGAAAGAGGGTCAGGTAAACCCTTCAATCACTCTTAGAGTTGTCCTTCATCAGACCTGGCACTGTCTGGGTCTTCAACTTCCTCACTTGCCCCTCTGTCCCAGAACCTGGGCCCCGTGTGCTCTTCTACCACTCCCAATTTGTCACCAAGGGCCCCCACCCCAATCACAGACTGAGTTCTCCCCTGGCCTCACCCACCGATGCATGTTTTCCCGTCGGTATGGAGCACAAACTTGACATGACAGCCGCACCGGGGACCTTGCTCTGTGTCATCACATGTGTGCTGGCAGCCACCATTACCGTAGTTGCATGTCACTGTGCAGAGAGAGGGCAAGGGCCTATCAGCTTGCTCCTCCCTGAGTACCTACAACTTGGATACTGGCCCTCTTTTCTAGCTGTCTCCCCATATTCCCTTTTGCTCCTAGCCCCTCCTCTTGTTGTCCCACATCCCTCCCCTTGGTTTTTCTTTTCTCCCGCTGCCATCCCACTTATCTCACATTTACAGTCCCGTTGGTTCTTGGTGAGCTCAAAGCCAGGGCGGCATTCACAGGCAATACCCCCTTTGGGTGTCTCTCGGCAAATATGGGCACAGCCATGGTTCTTGTTCATGCAATTCATTCCTTCTAAAAGAGAAAAGAAAGGGGGTAAATAATTTGTACCCCTGGATGCCTAGAAGAGGAGGAACTATGAGGGGCCATTGGGTGGGGCTAGGAAATTGGGAGAATTCCACTGAGGTAGGAATACAGAGAGGGAACTAACTCTCCCTGTCACAGGCCTCCTGTCTTGTCCTCAGAGCTGGGTGCTAATGAGCAGAGCTCAGAACCCTTTTGAATGATGTGTTAATAGGTACTGATACTCATCCCACATTCTCCTTCAAACAACCAAAAAAATAGTGTCTAATAGGTGTCCATTACTGTGCTAGGGACTGGGCAGATTTAGGAAGGACTCAGAAAAAGATAAGACATGATGAACTTTTCCCTCAAAGCACTTACAGTCAAACTAGGAAACAGATAAATAACAATCAGATCTATAATGTGAATGAGGAGTAATTGGCATAGATGTTTACTATGCAATTTTATTCAACATTTATTAAGCTCCCACTACATGCAGGGCAGTATGTTAGGTGCTGGGAATGCAAAGATGAACTAGACATAGTCCTGCCCTCAGGGATGTCACAGTCTAGTGAGGGTCAGGAAGTGAGTCACAGAAAGACAACATATACCCCTCTAATCTTGCTTGACCTTCCCAATCCAATCTAAGGAAGAAGGCATTGATGAGGCCTTCTCAGATAAGCAGCAACTTAAAGAAACTCAGCCAAAAACAGTTAGGAACAATATCCACCTTAGGTTTGGACATAGAGGACACCATAGTAGCCTCAATCCCATACTGACCCCAACCACAAATGAATTTCCCCAGATTTGGCTCTAATACAATATGTATCCATGGATCCTTAGGGTGTGACTGAGTTGTGGGACATGAGAAGATGAAACTAGCAGAGTTGAGAGCAGAGGGTGGGACTTAGGGGTATTGAGGGAGAGTTGGGAAGAGAAGTCTGGGAAGGGCAAGGACAGGGCCCTCCCAGGTCACAGGCTGACCTTCTGGCCGTTGGATGCAGGTATGTTGGTTGTCGCTGAGGAAGAAGCCTTCCCGGCAGTGGCACTCGTAGCTGCCCATCATGTTGACACAGCTCTGCTGACAGCCACCATTGCCCTCGGCACACTCATCCACATCTGTTCAGGATTGGTGGTTGGTGGGGCCATGGGGTGCAGGCCAAGATCCAGGGCATTACCCCGGATGTTAGTAGTGAAGACTGAGGGCAATTTTAAGAGCCCAACACACCACCCCATCTCCAAAGCCCAGCCTTAGGCCAGGCAGTTCTCACCCCCTTGTCAGCTACTATTCCACTGAATGTGAGGAAGCCACCCTGAGGGCAGAGCTGGAGGACTAAGCAAATGGAGGAGAGGGGGTCATCTGAGCCTGGCTCACCGAGGTGAAGACTTGCCTTCCTTTCCCTCATCTGTGGAAACTGTGTCTGAGAGCCACAAAGGAGCCACAGCAAGAGAAGAGTGATGAAGGTAAGGATGGAGGTTGGTCAGATTGGTCAGGGAGAGGGTAGCAGGGACAGCAGCATGTTGGTATCAGCATCCAGGGACTCCAGGAACTTGGGAAATGGCTCCACGTGCAGGGAGAGCCATGGCCATGGTGCTGAGGTGGGAAGGGCAGGGTGGGTAAGGGTAGCTGAGCCTCAACTCCTTGTGGGGCAGGGACCATTTCTGTGGACAGGCCACAGCCCCATCCTTCCTCCCCTCCCCACCATACCTGGGCTTGCTGCCATATTCCCTAGCCTTTCTCCTATTTTGGTTTAACAAAACACAGTCTGGCAGCTCAGCGTGGAGAGATCTGGGGAGAGCTGCCAGGCCACACCATAGATGGGGGAGAGGGAACAGTAGGCTCTCACCCCCAAATCACCAGCCCCAGATCCCAGAGCCAAGCTCATCCTGGGACTCCTACTTCAAAGCCTTGACCCCATCTCTATGCTAGCAACTGCCCTATCAAGTCCACAGCCTTTCTCAGCTTGCTGTGGCTCAGGAGGCATCAGGGAGATTGGCTGCCAAAGTGAGCAGCTAAAATCTAGGCTCTTGAAAACCTCATCTACCCCTCCCTTTCCATCCTCTCCCCTGAGGCCCTAAAACTCTCCCTTTCCCTTCTGGCCAAGGGCAGAGGGACCCAGATCCAGCTGGCTCCTGTTTGAGAGATGCACCTGTTGGGAAGAACTAAGGAGGTGTACTTTCCTCTGCTTTGTTCTTGTCTCTGCCCCATTTCTTGCTATGCTCTTGACGTCTCCCCATCTCTGTATTCTTGCTCCTGTCCCATCCTACATTCCATCCTTCTATTTGCTCCCTTCTATTCTAACCTTGTGGTTTTGCTACTCCAGCCAAGCTCTTTCCTATACTTCTGGTGGGGAAACTAAGGCCCAGGGCATAGACAACTTTTTCAAGGTTCTCCTATAAGCCAAAGGTAGGGCTGAGACTTTAAACCCTAACCCTAGGTAGTCCTTTGCTCCCCTGGCCCTCTCTTGTCCCTGTGCTTGCTTCTCCCCAAAACACTTACAGGGAAACTAGACTTGGTGAGAATCAGGGGCCTGGAAAGGTCAAAGGCAGCCAAAGAATTCAGAAATTTATTTCTCAATCCTGAAGCCAGGCCAGGCAAGGTGGCTCATGCCTGTAATTCTAGCACTCTGGGAGGCTGAGGCAGGTGGATTGCTTGAGCTCACAAGTTTGAGATCAGCCTGAGCAAGAGATAGACCCTGTCTCTCCTAAAAATAGAAAAACCGAGACAAGAGGATTATTTGAGCTTAAGAGTCAGAGGTTTCTGTGAGGTATGATGACACCATGGGATTCTACCCAGGGTGACAGCTTGAGACTGTCTCAAAAAAAAAAAAAAAATCCTGAAGCCAACTCACTGTCCTATTCCAAGTGTCACAGCTTCTCTTTCTAAGTCCTAAAGGGTCACTCAAGAGTGACTGGGCAGGTGAGAAATTAGGCACGTCTCTAGTAGCTAAAGTGGTAGAGGTGGCCAGGGCTGGGGGTAAGGGCCCAGCAGGAGTCATGGTTTGGAGGCCTGGGTTGGGAGTAGAAACCTATAGCCTGGTGCAGGAGGGTATGAGTGGGACTGGAGGCAGCTCTACAGCAAGGAAGTTTTTCTGGGCCAGTGAGACCTCAGAGAGTTCATCTATTTGGTCATGTGGGGGGTGGGGACCAGCCTCACCTGTTTTACTGGGCATTACTTCTTTTGCTTTTCTTCCTTTCCTGGTCCTCTGTGCTTCCAGTGCCCTATTTCTGCTTTTGGCATCAGAGATGGCATTTGGGAGAGGACCCCTGGGTTCAAATCTAAAATCCTTTTCTGCTATGGGCTTTAGATTTTTCTAGTTGAGGAAGAGTCTGACTTGGTCCCAGTGATTTTCCAAAATGACAGAGATCAAAGTTGAGTTAGTTCCCTAGGATTCTCCTATGTCTGATCCTGGGACAAAGAAGATCAGGTCAGGTTCAGATCTCAGAAGTGAGAAGAGGATGAGACTGGAGATTGCAGGAAGAACTGGGAGAAAACTGGCCTGTAAAAGGTTAGAGGCTCACCAGGGCACAGAGAAACACCATCACCTGCAGCAACAACATTCTTCCCATTTACTGAGTAGCTACTATGTGCTAAAGACTGTACAGGGCTCTTTACACATGTTCTGTCATGGTGATCCACCCAGCAGCCTCTGAGTGGGTTATTAACACCCTCATTTTATTTCATTTTACCATCCTTAGTTTAGACATGAGGATGCTGAGATTCCCAGAGAATCCTCTGTGCTTTAGTGTGTTTGCCCAAAGCCCCACAGTTAGTAAGCAGCAGAACGAGGCTCTGTGTGGAACCAAATCATCTTCTCATTGTTCTTTACCCACTGACTAAACCCACTGTTCTCATCTTCTGTCCCTTGCCCTGGGAGAATATTGTAGTTCCTCCTCTGATAATTTTCACCCAGCAGAAGGATTATTTCATCCTTAATGGCCAGTCTCAAAGGAGAGGCTGACCTTGTTATTTTGTAGGAATAAAGTTCTCTCTCTCTCTCTCTCTTTTTTTTTTTTTTAGAGAGGGGGGTCTTGTCTTAGCTCAGGCAGTTTACCCTCCTCAGCCTCCCAGAGTGCTTGGATTACAGGGATGAGCCCTCCTCACATTGGTCTTCTCTCTCTTTTTTTTGGAGACAGAGTCTCACCCCGTCACTCTGGGGTTGAGTGCTGTGGTGCCATCATAGCTCACAGCATCTTCAAACTCCTGGGCTCAAGTGATCCTCTTGCCTCAGCCTTCTGAGTAGCTGGGACTACAGGCACCTGCCACAACATCTATATAGTTTTTATATTTTTATTTTTATTTTTGAGACAGAGCCTCAAGCTGTCCCCCTGGGTGGAGTGCCGTGGCATCACAGCTCACAGCAACCTCCAACTCCTAGGCTCAAGTGAGTCTCCTGCCTCAGCCTCCCAAGTATCTGGGACCACAGGCGCCCACCACAATGCCCGGCTATTTTTTGGTTGCAGCCGTCATTGTTGTTTGGTGGCCCGGGCTGGATTTGAACCTGCCACCTTAGGTGTATGTGGCTGGCACCTTAGCCACTTGAGCCACAGGCACCAAGCCTTTTTTTTT